TTTTCGACGAAGGCGCATAGCCTGTCTTGGTTCAACCGTAGTTGAACTTTTTTGTGAAGGCGCATAGCCTGAGTCCCGGTTCAACCGTAGTTGAACTTTTTGGCGAAGGCGCATAGCCTGTCTTGGTTCAACCGTAGTTGAACTTTTTTGGTGAAGGCGCATAGCCTGAATCTTGGTTCAACCGTAGTTGAACTTACTGGGTAAGGCGCATAGCCTTGATTTAATGACGAAGGCGCTTAGCCTGAGTCTCGGTTCAACCGTAGTTGAACTTACTGGTGAAGGCGCATAGCCTGAATCTTGGTTCAACCCTGTTGTTTCGTTTGGAGCTTTGTGCTCCCAAGGTTCAGAAGGCCTTGAGGCGCCTGAGACTCGAACTTGAGTCTATTGGCCTTCTGAAATAGCTCTGTTTCAGGCGTCTACTTGGTATTGTAGAGACTCACCATCGAATCCCCACCCTGAAATAAAACAACAAATAGCATACCTTCAGGGGTTTGGGCTTGTCATTGGGCCCAAATAAGACAATTCCTTGCAAATGCGTTTGGGATCAGCTGTTCACGTTGGGCCGCCAGCTTCTTCATATAGAGTAACTAGTCCTTCCCGCATGAGCCCTTAATTAACTATTTAAGATTTCCATTATGTTAGTGCTAATTAATTAGCTTCCTGCTAGTATGTTGNCCTTCTGACATGTGTAACTGGTTCTACAGAAACATGAGATAAAAAGTTTATACTTTTGGTTTTATTTTTGGGCTTGGCTCAACATTTGAAAAAGCGGACGTGGAGCAGAGAGTGTAGGAGTGAAGAATAGACAGGAGTTGAGAGAGGAGGGCATTGAGAAGTGAACTCGGAGTAGAGACAGGACCTGAAGTAGATTTAGTAGCTCAAATGGTTGGGATGGGAGGGAGAAGCTCATGCTGATAAGTGGCTGATATAGTGAACATGAGATAATGTACAGTTGGATTAGAAGTGGAGAGAATGATCGTTGTAATGGACTTGCATGTGAGAAAATGGCTTACTGAAGTTCGGTTCTAGTACCATGGGAAAGAATCTGGTTGTCCTACCCAAAACATTAAGGTAATGGGAGTAGATTAGGATCATAAATCCCTTTAGAAATGCTTTTCTTGGTTTAACCGTAGTTGAACTTTTGGCGAAGGCGCATAGCCTTGATATAATGGCGAAGGCGCATAGCCTGAGTCCCGGTTCAACTGTTGTTGAACTTAGTCGATTTTGATGGCGAAGGCTCGTGACCTGAGTCCCGGTTCAACCATAGTTGAACTTTTTGTTGAAGGCTCATAGCCTGTCTTGGTTCGACCGTAGTTGAACTTTTGGCTAAGGCGCATAGCCTGAGTCCCGGTTCAACTGTTGTTGAACTCCGTCGATTTTGGCGGCGAAGGCTCATGGCCTGAGTCCCGGTTCAACCGTAGTTGAACTTTCTGGTGAAGGCGCATATCCTGTCTTGGTTCAACCGTAGTTGAACTTTTTGGAGAAAGCGCATAGCGCGGATTTAATGGCGAAGGCGCATAGCCTGAGTTCCGGTTCAATTGTTGTTGAACTTAGTCGATTTTGGCGGCGAAGGCTCATGGCCTGAGTCCCGGTTCAACCGTAGTTGAACTTTCTGGTGAAGGCACGTAGCCTGTCTTGGTTCAACCGTAGTTGAACTTTTTGGCGAAGGCGCATAGCCTGTCTTGGTTCAACTGTTGTTGAACTCCGTCGATTTTGACGGCGAAGGCCCATGGCCTGAGTCCCGGTTCAACCGTAGTTGAACTTTCTGGTGAAGGCGCGTAGCCTATCTTGGTTCAACCGTGGTTGAACTTTTTGTGAAGGCGCATAGCCTTGATTTAATGACGAAGGCGCTTAGCCTGAGTCTCGGTTCTACCATAGTTGAACTTACTGGTGAAGGCGCATAGCCTGAATCTTGGTTCAACTGTTGTTGAACTTTGTCGATCTTGATGGCGAAGGCTCATGGCCTGAGTCCCAGTTCAACTGCTGTTGAACTTTGTCGATTTTGACGGCGAAGGCTCGTGACCTGAGTCCCGGTTCAACCATAGTTGAACTTTTTGTTGAAGGCTCATAGCGTGTCTTGGTTCAACCGTAGTTGAACTTTCTGGTGAAGGCGCGTAGCCTGTCTTGGTTCAACCGTAGTTGAACTTTTGGCGAAGGCGCATAGCCTTGATATAATGGCGAAGGCGCATAGCCTGAGTCCCGGTTCAACCGTAGTTGAACTTTCTGGTGAAGGCGCGTAGCCTGTCTTGGTTCAACCGTAGTTGAACTTTTGGCGAAGGCGCATAGCCTTGATATAATGGCGAAGGCGCATAGCCTGAGTCCCGGTTCAACCGTTGTTGAACTTTTTTGGTTCGTGGGTTTTTGGGAGCTGAAGCTCGGTTTTGATTCGAGATCTTGAGCAGCTTAATCGTTATCTTCCCAACCGGGGTATGTAGGCTGTCTCGAAGCTTTTCTCGATTCGAGATTCCTCCGTGCTGGTTTCCGGTTGGAGCCCTTATCAGGGATGTGGGAGATCTCTTACGAAGATTCTCCCCAAAGGAAGGGGGCTTGCTTCTTCTTGTTTGCACCATTAGATAGATGAGGGACAGAGGAACCGGACCTCGATTCGAGATCTTCGAGTTCCATCGGCCTGATATGCCGCTTTGGCTTGTTTTTGCTGGGTTGTTCTTCCCAACCGGCGTTTCTTTCCTTTTGGTCCATGGAAGAACTACGCGATTTTGCTATGAAATCCCCACAGACGGCGCCAAATTGTTTGCTCAAAAATTATTACATATCTTTTGAGTGTAAAACAATACAAATAATCACGGGAAAATCATAGCAAATCGTAATAATCCGTTGGACCAAATGAAAGAAACGAGAATAAGTACTCAGAATTAGGGGGAGAAACATTCGAAACCTTTATTGATAATATTTGTTTGGTCTGCCTCTCCATGAAGAGGTTCAGAGCCTTACAATGGTGTTTTCTCTTCCCATAAGATGGGTATATTTTTCCCTTCTCTCTCCTGTCTATAGTGGTGAAGAAGCAGCCCCCCAGTTCTAGGGCTTCTACTCTTAGTATTTATAGCTGTGGGCTTCGTGAGCTGGCAATAAGTGGCCGTGACCACGTTGGGATCTCGCCTTTATGGTAGCGGACAGGCCATGGCCTTGTTGATCGAGCCGGATGCGGGTTGAACATCGTCAATTCTGAGTGGTCGTACCACTAATTAATCATGAATTAGCTTGAAACGGGATTAACCTCGTTAATTATCGTGGGGCCGGATTCTGACCCATACAAATTTGTATCTTGAAATGCATCCTTATGCTTTCTTTATTTACTATTTTAGGAGGATCGAAGAGATCAGAGGTGGCTAACGAAGGAAGATATATAGCAAACAGATCAAGGAAATTTAGACAAAAGTGACATGAATTATACACTACGTAGTAACATCAATTAACACATACAGAAAGGATACGTGATACACAGCTGATCACAAAATATGACACTAGCCACGCTAATACAATCAAAAGCAAATCAACGTGGACGCTATGTATTACTCCCTCCGTTTCATATTATATGAGGTAGTTTGACTCGGCACGGAGTTTCAGAAAAAAGAAGAAGACGTTTGAAACTTGTGGTCTTAAAAGCTTAAGGGGTAAAAAGTTTGTGGGTCATGACATTTGTATGGCTATAAAAGCTTCTCATTAAGGATAAATGGGTAAAATAAAAGAGTTTAAAGTAATTATTTTCAAATTTAGAAATGTGTCATTTGTTTTGGAACAGACTAAAAAGGAAAGTATCTCATTTAATATGAAACGGAGGGAGTACATAAAGTACGATATTAATTTCTATATCCCCTCCCTGTAACATCCTTCAGGGATTGAATAATGCCAATCTAGAAACATTGCTTTGTGGGGGTTTTTTTCAAATAAAATGAATAGAAAGTATTATCATATTTAAGGAGTTGTAGGTTTGTAAGGTGGAGAAAGAGAAGGAAAAGGTGTGTCCTTTGGATGGCTTGGGAATGTTGGTAATTCTGGTTTAGGCAGTTCCGGGATTTCTGGCTTTGGTATACTCGGCATCTCAGGCTTTGGCATAGCTAGAACTTCGGACTTTGGCACTTCTGGCTTTTTCACGGGAGTAAGCTCGGGTTTTGCCATTGCGGGGACCTGGGGTTTTGGCACATCTGGAATTTCAGGCTTTGGTACTTCAGGCTTTGGCATGATAGGAATCTCAGGCTTTGGTACCTCAAATTTTGGCACAACTGGTAGCTCAGGCTTTGGCACAATTGGTACTTCAGCCTTTGGCACGGCCGGAAGAAGCTCGGGCTTTGGCACAACTGGAGTCTCAGGTTTTGGCAAAGTTGGTAACTCGGGCTTTGACACTGCTGGTAGCTTGAGTTTTGGCACAGTTGGCACTTCAGGCTTTGGTAAAGTAGGTAACTCAGGCTTTGGCGCAGATGGTAGCTCGGGTTTTGGTACACTTGGTACTTCAGGTTTTGGTACAGTAGGAATTTCAGGCTTTGGAATGGCTGGGATTTCAGACTTCTGTATGGTTGGAAGCTCTGGTTTTGGCACAGCTGGGATCTCAGGCTTTGGCACAGTTGGTACTTCAGGTTTTGGTACACTAGGAATTTCAGGCTTTGGAATGGCTGGAATTTCAGGCTTCGGTATGGTTGGAAGCTCGGGTTTTGGAATAGTTGGGATCTCAAACTTTGGCAAAACTGGGACTTCTGGGAATTTCGGTTTAGGAATTTCAGGAAGGGGTGTCTCCAGAAGACGATGTGCTGATACACCACTCGTTATGTGGCCATACATGAATAAGATTAGAAATGCAAGTGGTAAGAGGTAGGATAGATGCCAATGCTGAGCCATTTTTCGCTGCAAATCCTAGAAGTTTAGAAAAAAATGTGTAAAGGCTGGATGTAACTTTGGCCTTCTGTTTCTTACTATATATTGGTTCTACATGCATGCAATAACAAGGACTCAAAGATTATGGTTGTTGGAATGGGATGTGTAGTTGAACTTCTCATCTATTATTTGCTTTACTACATTTTCTTGAATTTGTCTTCTGGTAGCTCAAACCTTTAAACTAAATACCTACTGAAAATGTGATAGTCAAAATTTGTCATCATCAAATCCAGTATGCTGGTACTTGTTAGAAACTTCTCTTCTGTTGCTTCAATTTCCTTGCAAAGAAAAGAAGCCTGAAATTAAAAGTCACATTTTACGCTAACCTAATTCATTTGGTTACAACTTCATTAGAATATTTTGAGGTTTGACAATTCCTCTTCATTAATGGCTCTACATAGAAAGGAAAACTTGCCAGATTTTACGAGTGTCAAACAGAAAAGCCATTAGTTAGTTTAATTTTTTTATCCCGCCGAATAATTCTTGGCTAGTAAATATCACTATTAAGAAGCAAATTATCTACTACCTTATTCATCAGATATATTACAGGAATTGGAGACCTCTAAATATTATATTTTTTTCTTGTTCTTATGAATAAAAAAAATCAAGATTGGGCAAAAGAGTGATACCTTAGGTCTGTAAAATCAGAGAATTGAACCTTCACAGGGTTTAATTTGTATAGCTCAATGTGTTAATATAACTGGCACTGCTGATTCTTTCCAACTCTACATAGAAATGGTGGATTTTGAATTATGAAATGCTTTTCCCAGTATAAACTCAAATATAATTATCCAATAGTCCTCCAAGAATTGCAGAAAGACAGCATTGTGAAATTAGCACATGGCACGTCTAATGTGGACAAGCATAAACGACGCTTCTATTCAATTAAGCATTGGACGTGGTATTGCTGGTCAATGCTGAAAGAAAAACTACTATTATATGAGATGACATAAGCAAAGATAATTTGATTACCAGTGCAGATAACAAACAAACATTTAATACTGAAGAAAATGGGTAACTCAATTGGTAGGCTGCTCAAAATTGACGCCTGCACCAGGTCTACACTCAGAGGCAGGTATGCACGTCTCTGAGTACTGCCACTGGATAAGCCAATTCAATCAAACATCCTAATAGGTTCACACCTACAACAACTCGTTTATGGCAATGGGGCGGTGCGGGTGCGGGGCGGTGCGGGTTTCAGCTTATGCGGGTGCGGGGCCGGGTGGATGGACGCAGGTGCGGGGCGGGTTGAATTTTTTTTACAAAAATCAACGCGGTTGCGGGGCGGTTGCGGGTTTTGGGATAATTTTATCTTTCCTAGAATCTGATTATAAAATTCTCCCGCTAAGCATGCAATTTTTATCAATCTTCCTTATTAATTCCTTTAGGCTTTACCATATTATATCCGGTGTTTATTCCCTCATCTTAAATTAATATATACAAAAAATTTATTATATTTAGTTTGCATTATCAAATCAGTTATGCATTTAGATCATCATCATCACTATAAGACCAATTTACTTAATTGAATTCATATTTGTCCAGAAACTAATCCTAAGAAGATTTAAAAATGATCAGTAGACATAATACCAAAACGTTTTACTCCTTCAATTTTTTGGGTTTGCTTTCTTTCTAATAATGCTTTTGATTCTTGATTTTAAAAGCCCTAAAATAAAAATAAAACAACTAGCTCTGTTAGTACAAGTTAACAAAAAAATGTTTGGGAAAAAATACTCATTAAAATTAAAAATTAAAAAAAAAAAAAAGAGAAAATTTTGTACTATGCGGTGCGGGTTTATGCAGGGCGGGGCGGGATGAAAACATAAAATTTTGTTATGCGGGGCAGGTTGAAGCCTTTGCGGATTGAGGCAGAACCCGTCCCGCAACCGCTCCGCCCCGCCCCATTGCCATCTCTACTTATGAAGGTAATAATTTTCTTTGCAAGAACTGTGGCCATCTTGGGCACACAGCTACCACATGCACTCAGACATCAACAAGGGCAGAACAATTGCAAGAATTTAACAATAATGCACAAAATTTGGACAATGAAGGGAGCAGTTCACATCCTCCACCGGAAGATCAATGGCAAGTAGTCACCTTCAACAGGCGAAGGAACCAAAGAACAAAGAAATTATTTGAAAAAAACCACAGAAATTCCATAACACCAAATTCACTGCCAGGTACCAGTATTAATGTTAAAATTTATGATGCGGCGGCAGGTAAGTACCTCAACTCTAAAAAAATAGTTTACAAAGCTATAAATAACCCTGTTATCCTAAATAACAATGACAATATGGGCCCTAACAATATTAATGAAATCCCTCCTCCAAATATTAAGGAAGATGAATTAATGCCCACTTCTGATAAATTTGATTCCCTGCTAATTCAGCATTCTAATTCCATCACTGAAACAAACACTGCCAATGACAAAATTCCTCCTTCGTTAATTCCTAAGCTTTCCCTATATCCCACCAAAACCACCACTCAAGTAGGTACAAGTGGCAACCCTAATCCATGCATCCACTATACCCCTAATCCACTTGCCAACTCACCCCTCACAAAGCTTCCTTGCTACACGCAAACTATCCCCTCTTCCTCTAAGGCTCCAAAATCACAACAACACTTGGCAAAAGACACTAGCCAAATGTCAATGGCTACTACTCCTCCAATCACAAATAATCTCCTTTCCCAATTTTCCCAATCTCCCATGCATGCAAAATCTTCCATATTAGATTTGCAATCATTAGCACCAAACATGCACTCAACCATTCCAACTATATCTTCCCCCTCAAACTCCAATACTCGGCCAGATTCCTCTCCTCAAAACAAAGACTTCCCCATAACTCCTTCTAAGAAAATCAATGGCACACTTCCCACCTTTCTCACTACAAATCCCATTCCACCCGCCAACTTTTGTGTCATCACTATCGATACCCAACTAAGACCCTCAAACCTGGATAGAACATGGACTACAGGGTCATGCAGCCTTCTTCCCGATGATCATCAATGGTCAGGAAGTATGGATTGTTCTTCAGAATCCGAACTTCCTAGCACAACTAATCTCGGAAGGCATGGCCTAGCAATGAGGAATTACATCAATCACATGTGGCTAGCCAATGCCCTGGAACCTTACACATCACTTCAACCCCCTCAACAATATGGAGTTACTATATCAACTCCCCTTCTTCACTCCGGTCAATCAAGTGACCGACCACCCCATCTTCTACCCATGGCAACCAATTCCCCAACACAATCCGATCCCCTTGGACATCCAAAACCAACAACACCCTCCTAACGAGCAAGACCAAGAGGGCCAAGAGATACCCGAAGAGATGGTAGAGGAAATAATTGTTCCACAGGTCAGGGGATCGTTCACCGGAATTTCAAGCATCAGACAAGCATCTCTCATGCTATTCCAAGAGATGGAGGACAGGAAACATACTCAGGTGTCCAGTAGCACTTTACAAATGCTCCATCGACATCCGCCCTCCGATTCTACAAGCAACAGGGAACTTTGCAGCAGTACTGAGCCCATCTCTGAGGCAATTCGCTCATCTCCTACACGTGGGGCCAAGGAACAATAATCTCAACTCAAACCATCTCCAAATGAATAGTTCAATGAGTCTTCTTGTCTGGAATATCCGTGGGGCGAACAATGATGAGTTCAAAAGAAATTTTAGGGAATTGATTAACACTCATTACCTTGCCATGGTTGCATTGTTGGAAACCAAAATGTCTGACCATAAACCTCTCCGTGATGAGTTTCATTTTTCTGACATTCTGGAGGTTCCAGCCGTAGGTCATGCTGGAGGGGTAGTTCTGCTTTGGTATGAAAACCTAGTTACACTAAATCTCGTAAGCAAATCCCACCAAGAAATCCATGCAATGCTCCAGGTATCTCCTATCCAACCCCCTAGTCTTATTAGTATCTTGTATGATAGTACCTCTCTTAATATGCGTAGTAATCTTTGGAATAGCCTTTGCGCCATAGCGGATACTTATCAAGGGATGTGGCTAGTAGGAGGGGATTTCAATGAAATCCTTTCCCAAAATGAAAAATGGGGAGGGGGGGGGGGGGGTAAACCTATTAATATTCAATGCTCTTCTCGTTTTTGGTCATGTTAAATTATTGCAATTTAATAGACCTAGGCTTTAAAGGTGCAAAATACACTTGGACCAACCGTAGAATAAACTCGGGTGGTCTAATTTTAGAACGTTTAGACAGGTGTCTTGCCAACACCATGTGGATCAACCAATATCCCGATGCTTCTATCACCCACCTACCCTGAACTCACTCAGAACATGCCCCTATACTTCCTTAATTTAAAAGGTCTGGCTCTCACTTTAGCAGAAAACTCTTTAGGCTCGAAACTTTTTGGTGCTATCACTCGGATTTTGACACCATTGTCAAAAACTCTTGGCAAGATAGACATCTCCTTGAAGCCACCGATTATTTTCAACATAGGATTATGCAATGGGCAAAGGCCACCTTTGGCAACACAAATAAAAAAGAAATAGAATCCTTGCGAGACTCTAAGGAATCCAATCCTCCCCAAAGTACCCCACTAGCCAATCCCTTCATCTTTTGGAAAATGATCTTATATCTGATTACAACAACATCCTGAAAATAGAGGAAGATTATTGAAAAATTCGGTCTCGTTTAAATTGGCTCAACGATGGGTACGCAAATACAAAATTCTTCCACTTAAGTGTAGTTAACCGCAAAAGAAGAAATAATATCTCCTTCTTCCAGGATAGTGAGGGTAATTGGATTAATGACCCGACGCAAATTCTTAGTCACACATCTCAACATTTCCAGAAAGCTTTTCAAACTGACCATATAGAAACACCCTTGCAAAACATTTGAAATTCTCAAACTAGCTTTGAAAGCTTAGATCTCTCCCCACTGGACTGTCCTCTAAAAGATTTTGAAGCGTGCAATTTTCTCCTTCAAACCCTTTAAGGCACCCGGCCTTGATGGTATCCACCTCTCTTTTTTAGTCAAAGATATTGGCATATAGTTAGGAATTCAGTCTTAACTTTTTTCCATAATATTTTCAACAATCTCTCAATCCCTGAAGCTCTTAACTCTACCTATATATGCCTCATCCCAAAATTACACAACGCAAATAACCTCAATAATTTTCGTCACATAGGAC